TCCTTTCTATGACACACCAATTTCAGGTCTTGAAGTCTCTACTAATGAGCTGATGGTCTGAATCAGGTGTGTTTGATTAAGGAGACATGCAAAAAGTGCAGTGTTGGGGTGCCTCAAGGACCAGGGTTGGGAACCACTGGCCTAGGCCAGGGAATAACCTGACAACCCAAAAACTGTCGTTAATTTACTGTGTTTCCGCTGCCCTCTAATGGAAGCTGGAAGCCATTACGTGCAAGAAAGGCATTCAGAACTCAAGTTTGTGTATTTGCACATCAAATGTTTATAAATTTACTGCTGGGCATTAAAATTTAAGTTTCATTACGAAACAACACAAAGAATATAATCAAGTATATTATAATAAATGACTATATAAATGCTACATGCATACATAAAGAGAGGATAGTGTGTGTGATGATGTGAATATGACGATTTCCATACAAATTCAATTTAATTTATATACCACTTTTCACAGCACTCATTGTTTCGAAGCAGCTTCACAGAAAATCATGATGTTTATGAATATTTTTATATCTTCATGCCTTATCATGTCATTTAGTAGATTAGAACTGGACGATAATACAGTTACATTTTGTGCAGTGATATAAACATCACACAGCTGAGATTTTATATATAGTATATGCATTTCATGAGTATACTGTATATATGCAGGTAAAGCAGGATGTAGGCCTATCCAACTTTTAATATATCGTTCGTTGGATGATAATATATATTGCAATTCATATGTATGTTTTCGCGCATTCTGAATTTTTTTTTTTTTTTGGAACTTTGTTAGATCGTGATGAATGAGTCACAGTTTTTAATAAATTTAAAGGGAGCACTCTTTGCATGCTGTATACAATAATATATTCAGAATTTAAATAAAACTTGTGTTTTTCATGCTTGACAAGCGGCCACGTACGACACAGAGATAGCAGCTACTACACTATATAGAAAAAGATAATAATTTCAGAAGCACAGATGTGATTCTGCAACCGAGCCTGGTCCAAAGGCAGGATTTAGGTAAGAAAACGGTTATTATTTGTATTGGCTGCCACGCCAAATCATGCACCTGCTTGCTTTTCTGTTTAATTTAACAGTGTTTTTGTGAACATATATATGCTTTAATAACAAATAATTGTAGCCTAACACTTTAAAATAAGGTTCGATTAGTTAATGTTAGTTAATGTATTAAAGTGTAGTGTTAGTTAATTATTGTAAAGTGTTACCTAAATAATGTATTTCGAGCGTTCACTTGAAAAAAATATGAATGCCTGCAGTCTCACACTAATCCATACAGAAGCTTTGAACATAGTGATGACCATGTTAAAGGCTAGAAGTGTGCAGGATTTTATCATTCACTCATAAAAAAAGGGTAAAAATTGTTACTGGGGTGGTATATTATAACGTAGGGCTGCACGATAATGGTTAAACTGATACTGGGGATGAATGTGTTCAATGCAAACAGCATCCACACATGTGTTTTTTCCCAGGTATGTTGGTAGAGTAGAGTGTGGTACCTGTAATGCATAGGAATACATGAACAGATAATGTATTCCTTAAATGCAATGTAAGAAAATGTCAATATAATAAGTGACATCTGTGGAATAGTTCTTGCTTGCTGTCATTCTCATCCCATGTTTATAATTGAAATGTCAAGATGTAGTGCAAAGCTATAAAGAGACACAGAAACAATCTCATTCAAATAGGCTAGGTTTCAGTTGTTTAAACCCAGGAACAGGAAATGGTGGTTTGCATGTAATGGAAAGTTTTTCATAAGACTTCTTATTACTTATTCTTATTACTAACCAACCTTCTTATCTCTAACTGACTTATAACCAGGGATGGACTGGGAGTAAAAAACGGCCCTGGATTTAAACCATTAAATAATGGTTTCCTGTAGTGTGTTTTGGGACATATTTCATTAGGATTTAGTGGCTTTAACAAAAGCCATGAATAGAAGGTGACCAATTACCAGTAGAGACCAACAGGCACCATTACAGTTTCCATTAAAACCAATTTTCATTATAACCAGTCAAACCATTACAAATTATATGATGGTTTCTATTTTTTTTAACAGAGGATCGAAATAAATGTATTATTGTATGAACTAAAATACTTGAAATCTACATAAAAAGAGCAGAATGCAAAATGTATAACACAATGATAAACATAAACCTAGAATCTAGAAACCTGAAACTGTCAGGGATTCGAACTCACCTAGAAAGACTTACCTTCTGTTTCTCCCGCGATCCTCCAACGACTCCTTGGAAACTGTTCCACGATCTCCAACGAGCCTGCAAAAGATACAAACCATCAGAACTCCGATAAGAACCCCAGAATCACTCACCTGCATTTACCTCACCCGTTCCATTCCTCTGCATATCCTGTC